CTCTTCATCTTCAGTCTTTTTCTCCTTCAGTCTTTTTTCTCCTTCAGTCTTTTTTCTCCTTCACTCTTTTTCTCCTTCAATCTTTTTTTCTCCTTCAATCTTTTTTTTGTCTCCTTCACTTTTTTTCTCCTACATTTTCTCTGTTTTTCTTTATTCTTTTTCTCCCGCCTTCTTTTCTTCCTCTTTTTCTATGTATCTTTTACGCGAGTTGACATCAAATTGATTTCCATTTCTTTTCCACACTTCTCATTTAAACACTTCCGTGAAACAAGGGATCAAGGAAAAGAAAGAATACACAATTTATATGTTTTAAATACAAGATACACGCACACACACACACACAAATATATATAGGTAGCAGTTGGGGACGCCTCGTATTCTCCCCGACTGTTATCTAAACTAAATTTAAAAACCCCTGATTTCGAGACAGTCAGTCTAGGGCTGAAGAAGACTGGCATAAGGTTATGCCGGTTTGAAATAGACTATACCCACATGAGGAAATTTTGGATTTTTTGCTGTATAATATATATGGTCTGTTATAATAAATACATTACTTTCTTATAGTTGTTTTTTAATCGCCAAACATACTTTGAAAGATTTGTGCAGTTTTTGTATTTGATATTGGTCAGTGACATTTTGTGGTGGTAAAAACGTGATTTCCAGCTGTTTTTGGTAGATCCAAAGTAATATTTAGCATCTTCGTCTGAATTGATCCTAGCTCTGTAGATTATGTCTTTAGTTATGTACTGGCCAATTAATGGGAAAGTTATATTTTTACGGAAGCTGCATTGACTTTTAATAGGATTATTATTTAGTGTTTTTTTTTGTGCTTGCTTAATACATTTTTGTTATGTTGGGATATTGTCATATGCCCTACTCGACGAATAATTTATAATGCAATCATACGCCGACCAGGATATATATGTATTATCACATCTATGTAGAGATACGGGCTATCTCTCTCAGACCATGACAAATGGACAATTAGTAAACAAAAATGTTTTAACGAATACTGTGCGATTGGGATAATCAAACAGTAATCTTTTCCCAGGTTCGCTTCGGTTTCAACACAAATACTGATCCACAATTCAAGGATGAACGATAAGGCGTAACAAATTTTGGTATAAGAATTTTAATATATACATATACACAAGATATTAAAATAAAAGAAAAATATAAGCATGAATAAAGCATCCGACAACCAGAATCTCAAGACTTATGTTGGGATACCAAAATATGTCCAAATCCAAGTGGATTCGACTGAACCCGAACGGATAAAAAAAAATAAGTATAAATAACTACGAATGCAGAAATCAACGCATAATCAAGAGATGGGATAGGATTTACATATTTCTATTTTGACATGTGGAAAGGTGTTTGTGAGAACATAAAATTTATGGATGCATGTGTATCTTTCTAACATGGGTCTAAAATATATAGTTACTTATCTTTATATTCAGTTCTCTCTTTTACTCATTGTCCTTTCTTTTCTCTCTCACGTTTCCTCTTTTCTTTCTTCTTCTTTACACAAATTCAATTTCACATACGGTCCGGCTGCAACAGAGATATATACTTTCTTCCTCTCTCTGGTTTTCTCTTTTCTTTCTTTCAAACACAGGCTGTATTCTCAGCGTAGAAATTTCCTTGCGTCTTCTGTGATAAATAACTCGATTTATCTTCTTCAATCTGGAGTTAGCGAACATAAATGCATCCTTATATTTCTTATCCGGAGTTGCTTATGATGAATCGGACAGGTTCCATCATTACCAAAATGAGTCTCATCTTTCCGTTCATAAGTTATCAGCGCTTCGATTTCGAGTCTTGCCCCTTCAAAGACAAGACAGCAACTGACTTCCAAATAATTTTCTAAATCCCACGAGTCCTGCGTTTTGGTGCGAATTCCAGTTCCTGATGCTTCATGGCCTTACGTCAGTTCACTGTCTAGATTCTGTCTCGACGTCTGTTGCTACTGGTAACTGGGTCAGTCAACCTCTTGACTTGCTTACCCAAAATGTCTCGAGACTCCCACGTGACCTCTTCTGTTGTCAATCGAAGATTAAACTTAATATATGCGTGTTTGGGCTATCTGCATTCGTAACAGATATATAATTGTCAATGTTTTTGTACAACTATAGCTTACCTTAATATTATTTTTGTTGAGAATCTTTTATAGTTTTGGAGAATGACCAAAGTGTTTGTGAACTAAATTTAGGAAAATTCGATCTGCATTAGTTTTGACATTACAGTTGTACGGCGGGTTGAAACATATGTTTACGTTGTTTTAGCTTATTTTTATCTTTAATTTTATTTCTTTCTACATACACTAATTTCACTTTATGATTACTACATTATAGTGCTTTATTACATCTAGCTTTATTATCGTCAAATATTTCTTTGTTACTAGGGTTGATCGATAACCTAAATTGTATCGATTTGTGCAAATTGTCAAGTATCCTTTTATTTTGATTGGATTTTCTGTCGACGTACTTGCAGTTGTATAAATCCTTAGTGTATCGATTATACAAGTCCTTACTCAGGTTAAATGTAACGTCTAGGAAATTGATCACGTTACAATTGCTAGTAATGTTTAGTTTATGGTCCTTAAAGAATTTAGTTAGGTCCTTTCTCATCCGGTCTGCTTGTCTTGGTCTCAGTTTACGAAGGAGAATTATCCCGTCGTTTCTGTATATACCACTGGGTTTGTTTTTATTTTTTTATATCAGTCTCCATAGCAACAGTATCCCTACAAGTTCACATACTTCCGCAGAATTATGTGTTCTGATGGATACACAAAAATCTGGGTTATTTCTTTTTGTCCAAAGAGTTCCGTCGTGGTATAAAATCGGCTTCTGTGCCTTTCTTATATTTTCGTCAGCAATATGGCAGTAGTTTCTTGCTAAATTAATAGCAGCCATCAGAAGATCTTCCGTAATGGATGGGTAGAAGTCAAACTGTAAAAAATGTGCATTTTTCTTTCTTTTTTTATATTACTGAATAATTCAATAGCTTCGGCTGTATTCAGTCACTGGTTGATACCTAAAGCATTTTTAGTATACATGTACGCTCTTTCCATAATAGTTTTGCTGATAATACCGATGGGATTTTTTTTTTTTTTTTTTTTTTTTTGGATGGACTAAGCAGTCGTTATTGCAGGGGCTTATTTATAAAATCCTCTTTGTGGCCATTATTTACATTATTCGGACTATTGTCCTCATCTTTGTCGCTTCGGCCGTTGTACGCTCCGGCTTTCTTCTTCTTCACTATTGCATGGTGACCGTAAGTTTCAACCTTCAGTGCGATATACACTCCAATTTTTTACAAATGCATACACACACATATATATATAAGTTTAAGATATTTTATATATATATATATATATATATATATATATATAATGTAAATAGTATATATATATATATATATATATATATATATTCTTCTCTCTTATATTACAGAATCATTCAATAGATTCGACTGTATTTCGCCACTGGTTGATACCTAAAGCCTTTTTAGTATACTTACACGATCTTTCCGTAATGGCTTTTGTTGTTGACATGTTAGGGCCAGAAATAAAGATACAAAGAGAGAAATTGTGTTAAACAAATTTATTAACAGAAACAGTAATACAAACATATACAAACGAGAGTGTTACAGCAAGAATGTTCGGTTCGACTGTCAGAGCTGACTGCTGGAAAAGTCTCTCTCCAAAAGGCAGTACCTGCTCCTATTTATAGCTGAGAGAGACTATGCATGCGTCGGTAAATTACCATAATGGTTTTACTGTTAACACTGACGTTATTTTGGGAGCGGATTAAGCAGTCGGTATTGAGGGTTATTTAGGAAATTCTAATTGTGGTATTTAATCGTGACATATGCATTTTGTTTGTGCAGTTTGGGGATTTTATCATCTATTTCTAGTTCAGTCGCTATTCCTTTGGAGTCATGGTTAATAGCTTTTTCCCAATTGTCAATCGCTTTTTATAGAATTTACATACTTCTGTATTGATGGCATTGCCGAAGAATTCTGCGTCGATGCAGTAATGGTTACCAGTCTTATCAGATTTCATAATTTTATCAGACTTCGACTTCTTATCGACTGTCTCTTCGCATTTTATGTTGTAGGTCGTTGGTGTGGTTATTAAATTTGATATTATTTATCATTGAGAACAACTCTATTTCGAATTCTGATAGTAGTTTATCGTTTGATGGAGTTTTTTGTGATTTGAAACCATAAGTTTCTTTATCGTAGATTTCTAAGTTTTCTTGTATCAGCTTAGACAAGAACAGCTTCCATCTAATTCTTTTTCTAACGTTCTCAATCTTATTTAACAGGTTCAGTTTGTATTTTCTACTACCAAGGACCATAATGTTTTTAGTGGAATAGTCCAGGTTAATTATAAATTTATATATTCTGGATGTGTAATTAGTAAATACAAAACGCTTTACATACTTCGTTGTATGGATCAATTATAACAAATTTATTATAGGAGACAAGGAAATTGAACATAGAATAGGCTGCACTAGAGTTAGTTTGAACAGTAAAAAGATGAGAACTTGCCTTGGTGTATGGATCAATTATAACAAATTTAGCATAGGAGATAAGGAAATTGAACATAGAATAGGCTGCCCTCGAGTTAGTTTGAACTGTAAAAAGATGAGAACTTGCCTTGGTGTATGGATCAATTATAACAAATTTAGAATACGAGATAAGGAAATTGAACATAGAATAGGCTACAGTAAAGATAGTTTGAACTGTAAAATGATGAGACCTTGCGTTGGTGTATGGATCAATAAAAACAAATTTAGTATAGGAGATAAGGAAATTGAACATAGAATAGGCTGCACTAGAGTTAGTTTGAACTGTAAAAGGATGATACCTTGTTTTGGTATATGGGTCAATTAAAACAAATTTAGTATAGTAAATGAGAATAGAATACACTGTACTAGGAGTAGTTTCACCCAACACAGCAAGAAAACAGTTAAACATTAATCTGAAAACTTGTGTTATGTTCTTAAATAGTCTCGTCAGATTTAGATATTCATGTGAATGCCATGCATGATGCCAAACTTGTTCATAAATATCTAAACAGTCAGCTGTATGCAACCGCTTTCTAAGATCAATTGTTAAAAGTGCCTCCTAGTTAATGTGGGCTATAGGTTTTACAGAAAACCGTCAAACTTCAAACCTTGTGAGCTGTCGATACAGAATCACAAACAAAGAATGGTACTAGATAACAGTTCACTACCGTGACTTTCTTTATTTATTTATTTCTTTCTCCTGAATTTCATTTACGGATGTACAATAATTTTTGCTCAGTCGTAAGAGAACTGTCAATTAAACTAACTAGGCGTCCGTTGCAGATGGAATGCGATAGACTTGGCAAATGGAAACTTAAACAGAAAAATAATTAAATGCATTGGTCGGAAATTCGCAATCGACGATGCATGACACCTCGATATTTAATAAGTTTAATTCCACACCATATCGATGTTTTCGGGCAGATGGTCACATGAATTCAGCTCATTAAATATCCATAGGAAAATCTTGATTTAATAAAATGAACTATCTGAAGAGAAGCCAACACCGAAGCCTACCGATAAACATATTGGAGATTACCGGAATGGGTGTCGACCGTTTAAAAGAGATAAACTGAATAATAACGCTAATTCATAAACAAAAGACAAAAAAATAAAACGATAACAGACAAGTAATTAAAAATCTCTAGTAACAACTACCTTCAATGCTGACCATTGACAATACCTTTTCTTTTTTACTTTCAATCTATTTCAATATTAAAGCTACTGGCAATACATTTGTAAATATAATAGCATTTAAATAACACTCGCATTAATTCTTGACCTTAAATAATCACTTTCTTTCTGGTTTACCATATATTTCTAGATATGGAATTTTTCCTCCCTGCCAGAAATATGGAATTTTTCTCTACTTCCAGAAATGCAAACATTTTCTATGCTGCTATTAAAATTAATTTTTTTCCCACTACCAGGAATAAAAATTATTTTTCACTGACAAATATACCAATTTTTCTTTCTAGTAAAAATATTACATTTTCACCTACTGCCAGTGATATGACATTTTTCATACTACCAGTAAAATAAAAAAAATAAAAAAACATCGCCAGAAATATGGCATTTCACTTGCTGCCGGAAACATGAAATTGTTCCTGCTGCCAGAAATATGAAACATTTTCCTTACTTTCATAAATACAAATTTCTTCCCTCCTTTCCTGTTACTAAAAATATTACATTTTTGCCTTATTGCCAGAAATATGAGTTTTCTTCTACTGCCAGAAATATGAGTTTTCTTTCACTGCCAGAAATAGGATTTTCCACTACTGCTAGAAATATGGCTGAAATTTTATCATGCTGCAAGTAAAATGAAAATTTTCCTTCCCATTATTCATTTATTCAATGTTGAATTTTGAATGGGTCACCCAGTGAAGTTTGAATGCGGTAGTGATACTTAATTCGCCTATCATCGTGAACATTACTCCTAGCTGAGGCATCTCCTTTAATAAGTTATATTTTACTATGCAAACATTAAATGATGCTGAATTAAGATACTGCGACACTGGTGGAATGAAAACAGGATTAAAAGGGGTGATGTGAAAACCC